GGGGAGGCAGGGCGGGTTGCAGCTGCAAGCTGGGGCTGGGTCAGTGCTGGACTATTCCTGGCAGGGGCTGGGCCAAGCTGTGCTTGGGGCAAGTGGCGGTGGCACCGGCAAGGGGGGATGGGATGGGGGGAACTGCAGCCACCCTAAAATTTGCTGCAGTCCCCCTCTCATGTCCCCCCCTCTCAGTGCTGCCACCACCCACCCCGAGTGCAGCACTGCCCCCCGGCCATGCACCAGGAAGACCCTGGCGCAGCCCCGGCCCCAATCTGCAGCTGCAGCCCGGCCATGCCCCATGTAGATCTGGAGGCACAGGCCCCCTGTGCCCTCCTGGGGTGCACACAGCAGCAGGAGCTGTACCCCACCCCCTCCCCATGCCCACCAGAAGAGCCACAGCTCCGTCCTGTGCGCTGCCCTGCCTTGGCTGGGCACCACCTGCCCCAGCCCCAGCCTCACTCCCTCCCACAACACAAGGGCCTTGATCTACTCCCCGCTTCCTCCCTCCCTCCCCCCCCTTCCACAACAGACTTCCTAGCTGCATGCAGCTCTCCAAGCTGCCACGCTGTACTCCTTGCTGTCTGCATGCTGTGCTGTGGCTGCGTGCATGCACAGGCATTTATTGGCCATATCAGGCCAATTTCTGATACAATTTTCTTTGTATTGGTGCCGATCCGATATCGGACCAATGTATTGGCGCACCTGTATAGTGTTTCATTTCTTTAAATTCTGTATTTGATTTTTACCATCATTTAAACAAGAGTGCTTAACCCCACAGCCCATGGAGCCACATCATCCAGTCCATGGGATTTGTCACGTGTCTCAAAATTTGGTAGCAGCGGACTGGTAGAACCTAATTGCTACTCCCCTGCTGTCAAAATTTCTGGACCCACTGAAAGCCCTGTGGGCTGCATGGCATGGCCCTGTGTGCTAGACTGAGTACATGGGACTGACTGGGCCAGGGCTGAGTGGGGCAGTGCAGGGCAGCGGCATGGAGCTGAGCTGTGTGGTACTAGGTAGTGAGGTGGCATGGAGCTGAGCAGGGCAGTGCAGGGAGGCATGGAGCAAAGCAAAGCAGCACAGGACTAAGCAAACGGTAAGGAAACTGAGCATAGGGCCAAGCAGGGCAGCACAAGGCCCAATCTGGCCACACACCACTTATCCAGCCTGTGAGGCCAAGAGATTGAGCACCTCTGATTTAAATTACTAAATTGCAATTAGAGGTGCACTGATCTATCAGTTGCATATTGGATCAGCACCAATAACAGGAAAATTAACATTAGTGGCAATCAGCTTTTTTTGGCCAATAATGTCACCGACAAATGCCCCCACTTGGGGCATTCAGCTTTGCTGCCTTTCCCTTGGAAGCCCTGGTGCCTTGAGCAGGGGCGATGCTGGGGAGGGCTTGGGGAGCTATAGTCACCCCCAAATTCCCCATAATACCCTGCAGCCACTGCTCCCAGCACTTCCACTGCCACCTGCCCTGCCCCTGTCCATTCTGAAAGCAGTCCCGGCCCAGCTCCCTTGCCAGGGAATGGCTGGCACAGCCCCTGGCCCCCAAACCACAGTATACAGCCCACCCTTGCCCTGGGCACAAATCTGGGGGGAGGGTGCACACAGCCGTGGGGAGCTGACCCCCTCCTCTCTCTGAATGAGTTGCCTGCAGCTCCATCCCACTCCCAGCCCTGGGGTCACATTCACCGCCCAAGCAGGGCAGCACCTGCCCACACCTCACTCCCTCCTTCACATGAGAGCCTTGATCTGCCCTCCTCAGCACAGACTTACTGGCAGGAGGCTGCTCTCCAAGCTGCTGGGGTCTCTTCCTGTAAATCGCCTATTGGATCAGTATTGGCCAATATGGCTGCTTAATAATTGGCTGTCAGTATCGGTCAAGAAAATCTATCTGTGCACCCCTAATCGAAATATTTGTTGAAATAATGTGTATAGTTTTAAAGTGCTGTCTAATTACTATGTATGTGCAAAACAATATTTATATGTTATTCCTACCTCACTCACTCGTATTGTGCTTTTTCCTAAAAAACCCAGGATCTTTTTAGGATCTTGTTTACAGAATTCTCAAAGACTCTTGGAGTAAAAGAGTGCCTATATTGATTTCAATGGCTAAGGACCAGGTCCTTAAAAAACTTGTCAGTGGCACAATCCACAGTTTATGAAGTTAAAGCAGGACTGGTTGGAGGATTGGTTTCTAAGCTTGTGTTTTTTCTACATAACATACAGGCATTGAGATGTTAATGAACAGGTTCATTTCAGGAACTGAAGATAAAATAAAAAACATTTATTTTTGGACCATAATTTCCCATATAAAGTAGCTCATCTACATTATGAAAAGAATGGAAACTCTCAGGTCCCTGGAAAAAACTGTTTGCAGTAACTTTTCCATATGGCCAACATACTTTTTTAATGTCATCTTCTGAAGCCTTTTTGAATTCATTTTCAAAAGGACTTGCTAGCTCATTGAATAAACCCACTTCTTCACAGTTCTTCAAGAATCGAGTTGGTGTTGGTGTCTGATCTGAAATGAAAAAGAAAAATATGTAATTTTTTTTTCAAAATGACAGTCAAATTAGCATAGGTATTTTCAGAATAAAAATATTAAAATACTGTCAATACAACAAGCCAACTAGTCATTTAATTTTTACTTTGGTTATTTATCCAAAAATACTAAAAGTACTGGGGCATACTTTAGGGGAAAATTCAATTAAAAACCTAAAAATGCAAATAAAAACCTTAACCTAACTTCATTTTAAAATACATTTAAGATTCAGCTTTTACTTGTGTTATAGAAGCTTCCTGCTATGTCATTCTACCTGAACTCACAATCACTAAGATTAACAACCCATTTAATTTAAATTACTTGTAATAAAAATAGACATATAACTCTTTCTGACAACTAAACTCCAATCATTTTACATTTGGATTTTTTTTTTCCTAAGTAGAAAAAAAAATAGTATTTTTGGTAGCTTAGGATATTTCTTCATTCATTTTTTCCTAAAAACTACTTACTACTTAAAAATAACTTAGTAGACAGTTACTCCATGTTTCATAAGATATTAGCTTTTACACATTTGAGAGAGTAGTTAGAGCCGAAAGTACTAAAATGACTAAAACAAGATACTTACCAGACACATGGGTAAATTTTCTTACCCTTCTGGTGTGTGTTATTTTTAATAAAACATGTTGTGAGCAAACTTTTCAAAACAGAAGAATGCTAATTCTCACCTTGACAGAGAAACCATTTACTCAGCCTGGGTGTTATTAATAGATATAAAACTCAACAATCCTATGTCTGGGTTAGCACTGGACTATAAATTACTGGTGTGGGAGGAGGGGGCTTAGAGAAGAGTTACCTTCTAATTCCTCTCATCCCCCTTTCAAATAGACTTTAATAAGTACCAGGCTAGTTTGGAGGCACAAGAGGTTGCATATATAAAAAAAATCATATTAAAAATGGTATTTACATTAATAATGGTATATTTGGAAGGTGGCATTCACTTGCAGTTTTGGTAATTGGGAAGACTTTTTCATTCCAAAACCCAGGGACAAGGTTGTAAAGGGAGATATGACATGTGGTTAAAAAGTCTCCCACGCCTCCGAGGCATACTCCTTTCTCTCTTTTGTTCAGGTCAGTCAGAAGGGGTACTGATGCTCCACCTGCTGGAGACAAACAACTGAGGTTTGTGAACTGGTTAGCCCCTTATAGCAGTGGTTTTCAACCTTTTTTTATTTGTGGACCCCTAAAAAATTTTGAATGGAGGTGCAGACCCCTTTGAATTGTAAGTGTGGGTATTCACATACTGTTGATTGATCACAGTCATCTTTTGTGGACCCCTTGGACATAGTCTGTGGACCCCCGGGGGTCCACTGCTTTATAGTATACATAGAAGGGGGCTATCATCAAAAGTCTAAGTTCTAGCTATCTCTACCTGTTGACTACAAAGATTTTTTCTTAAATTCCTGGACTAGTACAGCAGATCAGATTAAGAAAAAGGAGGCCCTATTTTCAAAGTGTTGAGAGGTCCTCTTGTATGAATACCCACAATTAAAAACAAGGAAAGATGGTGTTTACAGGGTTACAGTCTGTTTTTGCATCCTGCCATGCCAGATCTACATGGCAGGACATATGCTTTTTAGGAAGATACATCTGCAGAGTAGGAGAGCCCTGGATCAGAGAACTAGTCTCCCAGTCCAGGGCTCCCCTTGCACCTGGACCTTTAAAGACTTAATGAGCAGCTGGCACTAGGGAACCTGGGGATGTCAGGCTGTATGGCACTCCTTTCAAGGGACATGGGGTGGCCATGTTCCAGACCAAGAGTTGGCACCTGACAAACCTCCCCCCTAATCAGGTGATCAGTGGGACCACACAGAGGGCAGCAGGTCTAGGACACAATCACCCTCTGTCCCCTGAAAGGCACACCAAGAGATTTAAAGCTGCATGATGCATTTAAAGTCACATAGCTTTAAATGTCCTGGTATGCAGAGTGCACCAACTGCCTTTCAAGCAGCAAGGGGTGGCTGCGTCTTGGGGCAGGTAAACCAGGCTGGGGACAGGTCTCTGTTCTGGGACACAGCCACATCCTGCCTCTTGAAAGACATACCATATAGTTTAGCCATGGGAGGCAGCGGGGGATGGCCACAGGCATACATGCAGCTGGGCTGCATATAGGCACAAGAAGCACCTTCCCAATCTCAGGATCTTGCCCTTGTAGGATCATGCCATACGTTCAAATTAAAGCGTGATACAAACCAACCAAAGATGTTCCACATTAAATAACTTGCGCATGTGGTATGCTGATATTTATGGTCCAATTAACATGCTAATGCACCATAAATATAATGTCTGCCAGGGGCCATAGCGACTACTCCCCTTGTTATTAAGAGACGTGTTATTTGTACTAAAGTTATAATAATCATAGGAAGTATGGTGAAGATAGTATGCCAAACCTTACTGATTTAAAGGGTGTGAAATTAAACTCACAGAAGACTTATTGATATCCTGGCACCTAGTCTGTGAAAACATTCCATACTCATTTTATATTTTGGTTAACGTGCATACTTCATTTAGTTCACTTAGCACTTGTACATTATTAGTTTTTATATAATATCAGTATAAGAAAGTAATGTTATAAAAGATTTCAGTGACAGTTATGTGACAGTGTGTGAATATCACATAAGTACTGGATTAGGGTAAGGAAGGTAGATGAAGAACTCTTCCATTACTTGACTTTCAATGACTTATGTGACAGGTGCTCATTATTTTTAATTGTACCACTGCAAACAGCGTTATAGGGTGTACCGATAAAGATTTTATTGGCCAATACTGATGGCCAATTATTAATCAGCCATATCGGCCAATACCAATACAATAGCTGATATGCAGTCTGGCAGCTTGGAGAACAGCATCCAGGCAGTAAGTCTGTGGGGAGGAAGGGGAAGGGGAGAGGGGAGGGACATGGGGGGGGGCAGAGCAAGAGAGTGAAATCCGCAGATCAAAAGAGTGAAATCTGATCCCCCACCCCCACCAATGCTCCTTCCCTCCCCACCACAAACTTACTGGCCGGCAGATCCGTCAGGAAGAATCCAACACAGCTCCAGGCCCCGAGCCCACAGTAGGCAGCCTGTCCTCTCCCCATGCACAAATCCAGAGGGCACATGACCCCCATGCCTCCTCTGGGGATGCGCACAGCAACAGGAGCCACGCCTGCTCCATTCCCTTCCTCAATCCACCCCCCACACCCCTTCCCTCCTGCACACTTCTCCCCCCTCCCACAGACTTACCAGCCAGACACTGCTCCCCAAGCTGCCAGGCTGCATTCCTGGCTGCATGCATGCTGCAGCTGCGCATGTGCATGTGGCATTTATCTGTGACAATATTAGCAACACCAGCCAAAAAAAGCTGATTGCTGATAATGTCAATTTTCCTTTTATCAGTGCCGATATGATATGGATCAATATATCGGTGCACCTCTACAGCATTTATATTTTTAAATGTCTACCATGAATACAGTTTGTGTCTCCCCTAATAAAATAGTAACTTACAAACAAGGAAAGCTGAACAGAAGGACTGGAATCTTTGTGTAATTAAGTACGTCTTTTCCACTGCTGGAAAAGCTTCTGATTGTATTCCTGGAGTAGTTATATGTACACTATCCCTGAAGAACTTAAATATTTTAAATGATCTATTAGTAATTGTTTGGGTGTTTACAAGTCACAGACATACCCCTGTCCTGTGAAGTTTGGAAGGCTAATTTATTTTGAGAAAAACAAGAAAATATGACTGTGACAAAGAAAATGCTAAGAGTTCAGACATGAAAGTCTGAAGACACATATAGTAAGGAAGTAGTTTAGATTTAAACAAAAACTAAGCTACATTTACCTCCTTTCTAAAAATCTATTTACATTAAACTATTGATTAATTTCCCTGAGGCAACTGAAATATGTAAAAGAGGTTTTAGCAAAAAAAAAAAAAAAAAAAAAAAATCATTTAAACCAAGCAACCAAGACCATAGAAAATAGTTCAACACACAAAATGTTTACTCTGGTTTTGTACATTGGCTTTAAGGAGGATAGATACCAGTCATCTTAGGGGTATTAGCATGAAATACGTGCTACTGGGGGTGGGGACAAATGGCCCTTGAGGTCCCTTCAAACCTTCTGATTCCCTGCTACCTGTTACCTTGCCAAGGTGACAGGGAAACAAGTGAAAGCCTGTTTGGCTTGAGAAATGGCTATTTTGGGATATATGTATCTCAGTGCAGTTTTATTTAACTTTTTACCCAGGATAATTTCAAGTTGGATATGAGGGAGCTATGTCAGCCTAGGGCATCAGCTCTTATTCCACACTGATAATTTATTGTGTGTCCAGAACCTAAATTTCAGAATTGGTTAAGCACAGCAACAGTGCTTTTGTATGTATGACAGTTAATAAACTACTGCATTAGTAAAAATTAAACCCATATTTAAGCTATGTATGTGTCAAAATAAGTGATTTACAGGGAAATAAAATGGATAAGCACTTGTCAGACTGTACTATACAGTAATCCTATGGTATTTGCTTTCACCACTTTATAGAAGTTAAAGTATGTACAGAAAATAAACAAAATTTGTGAACATTCCAGGAGAAAGATGGATAAGCCATTAATAAAAATATATACTAACCAGCCACAATGACACTGTCATTACGAGCTGGACCAAATTTCAGTGTCATCTCATGTTTATGTTTATGGACAGCCAAATGATCTTCGTTGGTAAAACGCTGTGGCAAAAAGTTTTAAAATATAGTTAAAATTCTGAATGCGACTGAAATGAAATAAGGATATGGAAAGTCATTTTCACATGTAAAACCACCATTATTACCAAATTATCAGCTGACTTTTTACATGGATATGTATCTGTCTTTGGTCAGAAAGATTTCCAGGTAAGCTTTTCTCACAGAAACTGTGGGGTTGAATGAAACATGTGGCAGTCCATTTTCTTGAACTATACCCACATAATTTGGTATTTTTAACTCTACCCTTGGGCAGCTTTCAGTGGATGTACATTACAATCTTTCATTTCTCTGTGCATTCTGCCTGGGATAATTTTGGAAATTTGGCTGCAACAGCAAGCTTCCTCATTAGTAAGAATATTTTAAAGTGCTTTTAAATCCACATGCAAATTATGATTTTACTCTTAAAATATTATCTAGGAAACTTAGCCCTGGCTAGAAAGAAGAAAGAGAAAATACCAGCAGGGTAACTGAACCAAGACTCAGTTTTTATCCCTTTTCTTGAACAATGAAACAGTAGAATTCAAGGAAAATGTGTCACTGGGTCTCAGGAGTTGGGGCAGCAGGCAGGCTAGTTAGCTCGCAGTTGACCCCAATTACCTTAGTGGGTCTAGCTGCCCAGCTGCCTAACTAGCTCTAGCTAACTCCAGCTACCTGAGAAGGTAGGGCTCCTTGCAGAGAAGCAGCAGTATTTTCAAAGCTCAATCTATTTAAGAGTATAGATGGCTCTCTGTCTAGCCTGGGCTTCTGGATCTTAGTTTCCTGATTCCTGCCTACTGACTTCTAGTTTCCCAATTCCTACTTCCTGGCTCCACACCCCCTGCACTCCTGGTTTCAGTCCAGACCCTGCTTCTGGATCCTGACCCTGTGGCTTGTAGCTCTAATCTGGATCCCTGCTTCTGGCACCTGACCTTGTCTGTTCCTGATCCTCTGGGCTTACAATTTTCTACTGCCATTTCTGGGTTGTACCCTGACACTGGCTTATCAGGCCAGGCGGTCCTGAAACACTGCCCTTCTCCACAGGAATTTCTCATAACGTAATCAAAAGGTGTGTAAATGTCAAGGTAGTTTTGAGGAATACAGCAGGGAGGGTGAAACCAGTGAGGGAGAATGTTGTGAGGGTTGATAGGCAAGAGGGGTTTTTTTGAGGTAAGAAGTCTCTGTCCCTTAGAACTGTGCTCTGGAACAGGTACTGAGAATCAGCATACTATTGGATAACTACCTTATTAGTGTAAGGGAAATCTAGGGGTGTAGACAGAAGTGACAAATTTCACTTGATCTGGCCACAGAAAGCAGTTTATTGCCATGGCCAAACACTAGTGTAAGGGTGAAGACAGGTTCAAAAATGGTTGATTGGGTGAAAATCTGATCTCTCATTGCATGAGAGATCAGATAAAGATGTTTCAAAATATAGCATGTTCTGTAACGTGCGTCTGTACTGCTCCCAGCCTGGTGCTGTTTTTCAGAATGGGAGTGGGGAAACGGAGTTCAGTCTGGGGATTTTTCAGACCCTCCCCCCAGAAGGGTGGGTGTATTGAAGCACCCCTGAGGTTCCAATTCACCCACCCCACCCTTCAGCACCAGCTAGGGAGCCCCAAAAATGAGCTCCCTCCATTGTCTTTCCTCCCTCCCATTCTGAAAACAGAGAGCTAAGGCTGTTCCTATAGGAACCTGGCTTCAGGCTCCCAGGCCATCCCCCTACCACCTGGAACCAATAGTGAACTTCTGTTTAGTCCAGGGTAACATTGTAACTCAGAATGCTTTGCAGAAAAGTTCTGAGTTACAGCTGGGAGCTGCACTTCTGTCTGCACCCTAGATGTGCACCACACATTCCCTCATCCCTTTCTTGACCGAGTTTGCTATCAGTGGCAGAAGTAGGGGAACATACTTCCCATTTACAGTCCTCTTTCTCACAGTCTAGAATGTGAACTAGTATCTGAGAGGTCTCACATCCCATGTGTGACCCAGGATTGGGGGGAGAGGGACAACCATTTCAGTAGGCTTTGAGTCTCTCTTCCTGCCCCCAACACGTGTTATACAGGGTCTGGGTAACGCCTGTCCTTCTGGAGGAGTCTGAACCCCTTCTCCTTATACTCCAGTTTAAGCTGGTATCTGGGAGTGCCCTGGTTTTTTTGGCCCTTATCAGCCCTTCTCTCCTCACATGCCACACCTCCCTCTCTCTGCCCAACAACAGAAGCCACTGGTGGCCACCTGGGCCCCATGACTATTCTGTGGAAGATCTGAAACCAGAACATTCTTGAGCAAGCTGGTACTGATAACGGAATAGGGAAAAGTAAAATTATTTTGAAAAATATCCCTCTTCTGCCAATTTTGATGCATCTGAGTGTATTAAACATATTAAAAACCTCATTTTTTCCTACACTAAATGGAAATGGCTATGGTAACAGAATAGTAAGTTTAAGAAAGTTAGCATGCAAAAATTAAAGTTATCATAGCAAATATTAAGATAACTTTTGAACATGTATAAATCTAAATAAATAAAAGTGAATTAATATCATAATAAAATTAACTCATAACAGACCAATATGGTCCTATTCTATATGAATCGCAAACCTACAAGTTTCCAAATTATTATATATAAATCCATGACACAGAATGATAATACAATAGATAAAAGAAAACTTCCCTATTTGTGGTTACCAAGTCAACTATACAGTATGAAAACTACATCATCTTAAATAACCAGATAATAAAGTATTCAGAAACATTTCCCCTTCCTTTCTAGTCATATTTATTTTTTTATGTCGATGTACAAAATATATGCTAAAAAGTGGTACATGAAAACAAAAAAAAATTAATGAAGGATTACTTTTCCACTATGTAAAGTATTCCTTTGAAAATGCAGACATCCTTGCATTTGAGATGCACCCAAATTGTCTCTCAATTTTAGAAAAAAACCAAATAAATACATTTGCAACCTTATAACCTCTGTGCTTGCATAAAAGCTTTTTACCTTTTTTTTCAACTTGAATTTACTTTCCACAATCAATATTTTCTTTTAAAAAGTGTGCCATGCAAAGGAATAAAGTATTATATTTTTAGATGATGCTTTCATTATATCTCATTAAATTTCTTCACTTATCACAAAGCTGTCATTATCAGTCTACATACCAGATTATTATACGCATGGGGAGAGACTCAGAAGTTTTCTGAAACTTTTCAACATTGTATAGTGATGCCCTTGTGCATTGCTACACACGTTCTCTGCCATCAGTTAACGTCCAGAGACTTCCTGAATACCAGAGCGCGCATCACACTTAGTTTGCATCTAATTCTTATAGAGGGTTAACAAAATGATGAACAATATCGTACATGTTAATGCATTATTTGATTCCATTTAGAAAATTACAACAGAATTGACACAAAAAAGTATTTTTTTTTCTGACAGATATATGACCTGGGGTTATGAAAATTTATCCTGCTGTGGACAGCATGGTTAAACCAACAAACTTTCTTGCTACCACCTGCTTTACAGCATAACAACACTACACAGTCACGTTCCAGCAACTATCATTAAGAAATCTCTATTCTTAAAATCTAACCAAATACATTTTGCTCTTTCTACACTCCCACTTTTCTTTTCTTTGGCCTACATTAATAGATTCCTGTCATCCCATTACCTGGCCACATCCAGGGGCTGTGCATAAAAAGGGTTTGTCATCACTCATATTCCACAGGTCGCTGTATTACCTAAGTTGAAAGGATAAAAGACTTCTCAAAATATTTGTAGTAATTGAAACTTTATCAGCATATCAACCTAGAAAAGCCCTGGGCTATAAAAAGTACTTCAGCATTTAGTATTCCAGAAGCAAGACCTGCTCTTTGTCTTCAGACTGCAGTGAGAGTTATCTAAGTATCTGGTAAGAAATGGAAGTACATTTCTAAGCCCGGTGAGGAAGATACACAAATCCAAACAGATACATAACAGATTTTGAGCATGCATCTTAATTTTAAAAGGAAGCAATACAAGAAAGCAATTGAACACAATGCAAAATTAACCTGTAAAATATGATCCACAAAATGTCACTGAGGTAGCTGACTGAAATAAAAATATACTGTAATTACCAGAATTCTAAAAACAGAGGAAAATAGCAGATAATAGTGAAGAAACAAGAACTAGTCATCCACAGCAAATCATTCACTCCCTTATTTTCTCAATGCTGTTAAACTCCTATTACAGGGTTATGATGCCCATGCACATCTCCACAGCATATATACAGTTCTTAAGTGTAAATACAAAAATATACATTTTAAGACTCCTTCAGAAAAACAACACTAGCATTTACCTTAAAATATGCTCAACAAGGTGTCAGTAGATCTTTACTATACTTAGCAATGCTCTACATACTTACACATGTACACAAATGTATATACCTGCCAGATTTCATACGTAAGCCAAATTTTATAAGGTGAACACCTTATCACGTCCTCCTTTTCATGGCAATAAACTATAATTAAAAGAAACAGACTAATTACTGTTATGGAAATGAAACAATAAAATGTAGTTATACCCTTGTAATATCACTAGGAAAATTATATAATTCCTGGGTCAGGTCCAAATTGTATTGAATTTTTACTACCCTGTAGATATACTTCAGTTTACTTCTAGAGTAAAGCCTTTCTACCTCAAAGTTCCATTTTTAATAATTTAATAGAAGCATGAGAAAATTTTAATTTCAATTTTCAATGCAATTTCAATGCAATTTCTTCATGCAAAATAATAAAAATGACAAGGCATCTAAGGAATAACTACTACTTTCTATTGTTTAAATGAAATATTTTTCAATTAAGTCTCTTAAGGGCTCTTGGGGAATAGCAGTAGCAATTCTACTTGTGATGCACCATGCTTTGTTGTCCTTAGAATTCGTAATAAAACAAGTCATACTGTGAGTTTTTTTCTTTTTTGGGTGGGGGATGAGGGAGCTGCCCTCACACACCATTTGTTGCAATTATAAGTTAACCTGCTACTTTCATGTTCAATTAAAAAAACAAACAAGCTTTCTCCCCTAAATCAGAGCCAGTAACTAGAGATAAAGGCCTCAAGCTGCTAGTACCCTTTCCAAAATCCTATGGAAGAGTCAAACAGCCAAGGAAAGGACCTAAAGTGTTAAATGCACTAAACATTCCAAAATAAAAACTATTCTGAAAAAAATTCTGACCTGGTATTTTTATTACATAACACAAAAATACAGTAAGTACAAAAGTCATAACTGTAGGGGTGTCAATTATAGGCTGATCCTGCCTATAAGTCAGGAGTTCTTTTTTTATGAGGTTTATTTTTTTTTAGAGGATAAAGGGTATACTTAAAATAAGAATAATACAGCATGCAACTCAAAAGTTATTAGAAATGCAGTAATTGCATAGGTTTACATACCAAGCCATTTTAAAATAAGATCTATACAAAAGCAAAAAACTCCCCAAAGACAGAATCTTTTATGATCACTCCAAGTCAAGTTAGGCTAACAGTTTATCACAAACTAAAAGACTCAATGTGTCCACAACACACAATGTTTCTGCACTGACTTTACCACAAGTCTATGATGTGGCCAACATTCACTAATAAAATGGAAAACAATTTTTTTAAAAGAAGAGGGTACACTTGCCCTGCCTATAAATTCATTTGACTTTCTTATGGTAACATACAAGATGCATTTAAAATTCCTTTTTCAGATAGGTTACTTCACCCTACTCTTTCTCTATTAAATAAGTTTTGGATTATTAAACATCTTTTATTCCTAACTGACTATAATTTCCCTTGGGTTACAAGAGGTTCAGTAACTCCTATATTTAGATAAAAGCACTATATAAGAAGGGAAACCTAAGTATTTAAATTACTCTAAAAGTTCAAAGAAAATACAAGAAGCCAGAAGAAAAGTACTGGAATAGTACTGAGAAAAAAGTAAGACCTAAACAAAATCGAGGTCTACTTCTAATTACATTTCTCTTAGCTAGATGCCTGCAACTATCATAGTACCAGAGACAAATAATTTTTTTTTACAAAGAGAGTCTTTGCATTCCAAATGACACTTCAGAATGGATTTTTTTTTTTTAACTGTAATGATGAAGCCAAAGGAAAAAGGCAGGAGCTGAGGCTGAATAAAGAATGATCATCATAATTCATTTATTTCAGAATAATGGTTGGAAAGACAGCTCCAGACAGAATGTCTAAGTAACCAAGAACAGGATAGGTACCGGACAATAATTTTGGATGCAAAAGGCTGCCTTAATATTAAAAGATGTAAGATAGTAAAGAAACTAATAGTACTCACAACCCCATAGAACTCATTTGACCCTGAAACTCATTCAGAAATTGTAAAGTACCATCATAAAAGTTTTAAAAAGTGATAATTCCGAATGCTTATCTGCTCGATGAAGGAAACAGTTTGATCAAAGTGGACCATCAAGATGGCTTTTTTTCCATCAGTTTGGACACAAAAGGAAATGAGGATTTTAGAACTACCTACATTTCCAAAGGCCATGAATTCTCTCTAATACAGCATTTACCTTTTAGACGTAAGAAATCTCAGTCACACCTACTTAGATCTAATACACTGGCATTTCCTCACCGACATACATCATTTATATCCACGGTTAACATACATGTTCCAAAATGAAAATGCATTGCCCCCTTCCTACATTTATTTCATAACAATGAATGGACAAAACATTTGACTTCCCCAGACTGAAGACAGGAGAACTGGAGACCTGGCCACTGGCAATAATCATATGGAGGCACACAAATATGGCATTGAGGACACTGAATGGTGTTGCTTCTATATATAAGTTCAACAGAGGGAGGACACTCAAACCATCTGAGGTCATAAGCCAAGAAGAGATGAACTGCTGGCAGACATTTAAAAGTCTTTTATACTGCTAAAGGAAACATATGCATCAGACGGAATGCCAATACAAATGACAGAAGGAGCTCATTCTGCGTTCTCTTCAAAGAGCACACAGATCCTAAGTTTTTTAAAGAATTCGGTTAAATGGGCTATTGATAGGCATATCTTTCTGATGTCTGTTAATATTACTATCATTCTTCTTGACTCACAGGAACAGGGACAAGCATAAAGACCCCCAAATTAATAAGACACTGACTTCAGGGTAAAATCAATGGATAACACTAATGAAAGGATACTGGATGTTCCTGAATTACAATGGATACTTGTAAGTTCCCCCAGACAATATATTATCTCTGTTCTGCTGCTTTGTTCCAATTTTTTTTATCGATTCAATTTCAATTCTAACTTGGGTTAGACTCATTGGGGCCTTGAAATAAATTAGGTAAACTTTGGGAAATCTCTTTCTATGAGTCACTCCCATACTGGAGATAGTTGAACATACTTTGCAGGCTCTAAAAAAAATAATTAAACTGATTTCTACCAACTGAAGCCATAACTGCCAAGTTAATCAGAAAAAATCCAATTTTGTCCCTCCTTGTCTTGATCCCCCTCCAGACTAGCTGATGTAAGAGAGAAAAAAACAGCCTAACACATAAAGGGCAAGTTGGGAAAGGAAGGGAAGTGGAGAGCTTCAGAAATTATGCTTCAGCATCAAAAGAGTACTAGAGACTTTCCCTTCTCTAAGAGAGAATACAACAATGAAGCCCCCAAAACTCTTT